TTTAAGAAAACTCTTGATCATCCTAATCAGAAGTCCACCTTCCAACTGCAACCTTCAACTCTGGGCTAGAATCCATGTCCTTGTGTCATGATGACTTATGCAAATATCAGCCTCCCTGCCATCCACTCCAGCTGTATCCACCCTCATTCTATAACATCTTTGGATCATGCAGAGCAACAGAAGAAAACTCGATTTCCACTTATTCATTTGTCCCCTTGGTTTCTGCTCTTAGCCTACACTGTTGAGAAAAACTAACACTATTTGAAAACAAAGAGGAGGAGGAATTGGACAGAGCACCTGCAACTGCCTTCTTCTCATATTTTTTATTTCCTGAGCAATCAATTATTTGGGCACAATTCACAACCCTCAGTGAAGTAAGAGCCTCCAAATAAATTATTCCATCCTTGGGCGATACAATCTATTTTCATTAATGATTAATTCATGTAACTCGAAGTCTTCCTTTTTCCCTCTACACATACCCCTGAAGGTTTTGACTTAAGTTACACCCTCCTGCCCACGGGGAAAATCAAGTCTACACCTAATTACTGATTACCTTGGCAACCAAGCATATTTTAGGCTATAGTCTATCACAACACTAAATCGTACAGTAACTATTTTTCTCTTTAAGTTTTCCATCTCTGGAAACACAGCTGGGATCTTTCGCCTTCTTTGAAAATGATGAAAGAGTCATGAACCACACATTCCATGAGGCTTATGATTTTAAGTTTAAACTCGGAAGTTCAATGTCACCAAATTTCGTTACCCACTACAATTTAAATCTTAAAAAGCTGAAGGTCACTAACGAGGGCCATTTTAAGTCATATTTGTCATTCTCGGTGGGTGAGTCTTGTGTTCTTTTAGCAAAGAAAAGTGTACAGGAGTGAAGAGAACTGCAGGGGCTCTCAGGACAAGGAAGAAAAAGGAGTAGATAACGCCACAGTAACAGTAGAACCCTGCAGGAAACCACAAGAACTCAGCTTGAGTCCATAGAGAGCATGTCCAGCACAACAAATGCTCAGGCGCAGAGGATGCTTCTTTACAACCATCTCCCGTATCAGGTGGTACCCCAGGAGCTGAATGACAATTAGGTAACAGGTGTGGGTGGTGGATTTCGCCTGAGGGGACTCTCCAGAAAGTTATGACTTTCTTCTTAACAGAAAGAAAAGACATCTGAACTATGAGTTCATCTCCTAGATGGCAGCCTTCAGGAGGAAAGGGTGGGGGTTTGGAGTGACAAGGAGAGTTTCATACATTACGGCCCAGGGGCTACACAGGCCTTTGCTCTGCATGCTTGTGTGAGCCAGTGTCCCCCAGGACCCAGGAAGACAGCGCAGGAAACATCAGAGGAGCCCGGAAAACACTAATAACTGTCCCAATACAGCATGCTACAGCCAGTGTGGAGATTATTCACACTACTAATATGTACACATATCTAAAAATATAAATTACATATTTGCAAATAGTTCCTTATTACTTTCATCTTTCATGTCTTAAAACATTTATTATGCCATGATTCCTCATTAAATTACTAATTACAATGATTGCTCTTGAAGTCAGCATAGGCAAAAAGAAAAAAACAACCCCCACACAAAAAAACTGAAAAAAAAAAATAAACACTTCCCAATGGAAACAGAAAATGAACAGATTTTGACATTAGGTTGGCTGTTTCTGTGAGCCCTACTAGCACATCTTGGCTACAAGGACAGGACCCAAGGACTGCCACCCTCCCAAGAGCTTCACATTTTACATGATTATTTGCAACAAAGCATTGTCTCTCCACCCAAGCATAGAAACCAGAATAGGTGGTAGACAATTAAGAATCAAATCTTGCACACAGGAATGAAAAATAATTCTCAACATGGAATCACTTTAAACACAAAATCTTTTAATTTATATCATATACAGTTAAAACTGTAAATCTCTTATTATTTTCAGTTAAATAACATCCCTCACATAATAAATAATATATCTCCTTTCGTAATTGTGTGATCTTTGTACTGAGTTTCACATTTTGCAATATTAATTCACAAACCCTTATTTTCTTTATTTGTACTTCCCTGGTATCTACGAAGCTCTCAAATTTTCCAAGTCTTTTTGATTCATCTTTTACGTGGAGTATACTGTTCGGTTTCTGGGGTAACTCATTCTGAAAATTACGTTACCTTTCTAAAGATTTACTTTTGCTTAAAGGGAGAAAAAGAAAGGAGAAGTCTTTAAACTAGGAGCTATTTTCTCTGGTCCATAACAGTCCTTTGTCTTCCCAGGTGCTGTTGATACCCTTCTAACAAAGATAGTATGGGTGAGTACTGAGGAGCTTAATTCCCAACACCTAAGCTGCATGAAACCCTACTAAATCCATCATCTTCTACATCAATTTAACAGGACCCAAGACTGCACAACCATTCCATATCACACAGCTCAGTCTCATTTTCCATCACTCTATGACAGCTTCCTGGAACTCACTGTGATTCCTGCCCCACCCCAAACCCTGCCTCCTTTGTGCATTCAATGGGGGCACTGCCCCAAGCAACACCTCTTGTCCTACAGAAGGGTCAACCACAGGGTCCTGAGATTTAGGACTCTACGGTCCAAAGAAATCATGCAGATGACTGATCAAAGCTGAAAGGATGTTTAGAAAGGACAGCATGGTGATAGAAAACAGGGCTTCAGCTTGCTGGACAGGAGTAGGGGTCCTTTCTCACCTCCTTGTCAGGGAAGGAGTCACATAGAACTGTAGAACATGACATCGACCATAAGGAAGGCTTGAACAAGAAAAAATTCCAGTTGGCAATTCTTGACTGATGTTGTTTATCTGCAAGTTATTGTTAGAGATTTGGAATGCTACAGGCCTGCCAATTGTAACATTAATGTTGGGATATCCAAATTCTAGGCAATAAAAATGGCATCAAGTTTAGAGTTAGCCATTTGTACCCAATTTCACCAGGTAGGGATTAACTATTGGAACTCAACAGCATAACAGAGCCTAACAGGTGGGAACAATTCTCCCTCATGAGATTACCTGCACCCATATCTGAGTGTTATATGTCTTTTGAAAATTCCTGCCCTTGGGCCTGGTGCGGTGGCACAGTGGTTAAGGTCCTCACTTTGCATGCCCGGGATCCCATATGGGTGCCAGTTCTAATCCTGGCAGCCCTGCTTCCCTTCCAGCTCCCTGCTTGTGGCCCGGGAAAGCAGTGGAGGACGGCCCAAAGCTTTGGGACCTTGCACCCCTGTGGGAGACCCCGGAAGAGGCTCCTGGCTTTGGACCAGCATAGCATCGGCCATTGCGCTCACTTGGGGAGTGAATCTTCGGACGGAAGATCTTCCTCTCTGTCTCTCCTCTCTGTATATCTGCCTTTCCAATAAAAATAAAATAAAATCTTTTAAAAAAAAAGAAAATTCCTGCTCTCCTCTCTACAACTCCCAGTGGGATTCCCACCCGCGGAAAGACAAAAACCTGGACTAGGTGTAGCCCAGCTTGAGCCCTGATCCCCACCCCACATCAAAGCAGAGATGAGAAGAAATGTCTTAAACACAACTGGGATTATTCTGCCTCACCTGTCAGCATTCGTTCAGAAAAGCTGCTGTCACAGGGACACAGCTTAATTATGTTGAGGTGCATTTTTTTTCTAAGAAATCAAATTCTGAATTGCTTCCTAGGAAAGACACATTCTATAAGAGGTTTTTCCCTTAATGCATTCCTCTAAAAGAGAAGCACGTCCATGGAAAGTTCATTACTAAATTGGATGGCAAATAGTTGTTCCTGTGCTACTATGTACAGATATATCTAAAGACCAGGATTACACATCTGCAAAGAATATTTTACTATATTCATGGTGCAAACTTGAAGATATTTGCTACATAATGATGCAATCCCTAACGATGCATCCATCCATCATGTGAAACTTAACTCATAATATCTTCAGGAAACCAGGACAACAAGGAAATGCCCTCATAAACCACTTACAAATCCATCAAGGCAAAGGAAAACGCAACATATTACTTTGAGAAATAGCTAAGTACACCAAAACTCAGAAAACGTTACATACAACTGTCTTTCACATCATTTCTGGAAATCACTACAACCTCTCCCCTATTAAAAAAAAATAAACAAGCAAACAAAAACATGGTAGAAAGAAGATCCTTGGAAAGAGAAAACTGAAAAGAAAAATATGCTCTCTCCAGTCGGCCTTTTTGCAGCACTCCCACTTGCCCCTCCCCAACTCCCAGAATATTCTCCAAACAGCTCTGCATGTGACACCTCTGAGATTTCCCTGGCCCTCTGGCAAATTCTTGACAACCAACATCTGAGCAGTCACGACTTCAGCCCAGGAGCAGTGACTGTGAAGCTGATGGGGCTGAAGTGGGTCATCAGAGGCTCTGCAGAGAGGAAGCTCCTAGACCCCCACAGCAGCTGTTGTGATTTACAGAGAAGGTGATTCATTCACACTTTAAAAGATGTGTGCGACATCAGCCTCGGGGAACAAGCTTGCAGCAGTTCCATCTCATCTCCTGGGGACCTCACCTTCCTGGGAGAGGAAGGTGCTTTCCTTTGTTTCACACCATTTTGTTACATGTTGGAATCCAGTCGAGCGGTCTACCAATGCAAAGGCACTCCCAGTAACCCCCAGTAACCAAACAATTCTTCCAGCTGTTGTGAATGCCTGGTTTGTCTCATGGTGGTACAACAGCCAATGCCCTTCTTGGAACTTTTTTTAACTTCTTACCTGAAATCCATGAAGCAAAAGCTCTGGCAAACAGTCCCTGGATAAGTCATCTTGTAGATTTTAAGAATGGCTTTATAATCTTTTACTCTCAAATACCCCATAACAGAGAAAAAATGATAGGCTGTATTTCTTAATTAGATGACTACTTAATAACAATGGTTGATAAAACAGACAGATTCAAATAATTTGCCAGTCACACAAAGAAAATAACTACAATTGTACCCCCAGCAACCTGAGAGAGCACAGGTGCCAAGCCTTCCCCGCCCGACTTACGGCTAGCTGGCCGACTATGTTCAGACTGAGTGCTGTCCACTGACTGGGTGCTGGAGATGCTGGAGCTGCGCACGAAGCCAAATGCTGCCAACTTGGCTGCCGGGAGACGTGAGTAGCCAGGCGGACGGAGTCCAGACTTTGGTAGACTGGATTTTGCAGCATTTGAACTGGAGGCTTTCTTTAAATCTGCTAAGATGAATTCAAAGCAAAAAGTTTCTCAGTTCAGAGTAAGATACAGTGCCTAGAATGTCAGTTGTATGCCTATTCTCTCTATTCAGACAAAACTGATCCTCCATGGTTTGATTCAGCACATCTGCAAGTGAATCGAAGATAAAAGCCCCTTACTGTAGGCCATGCACTTCCACAAACTCAGGAAATGCAACCCATGTCCTGGAGAAGGACTTTATTCTAACAGGGCAGATGAGCTCCAGACTCATACATCACCCTTTTATGAGTCCACAAGCAAGAGTCTAAAGTGTCCAGGATATAGAATACTTACTGTTGCAAATGCCTTCAAATCTGTAAAACTGAGATACATCTTAAATGTTGACATGTAATGGACACAGAACCCTTGTAGCATGTATTTCAATAATGATGATGATGAGTATGTAGTAAGTCACATAGAAATAAATACAAAGAACCCTCTTACTGAAATATGTGAGCTAAGTAGGGGAAACTAAGTAGGAATAAGTGAAGCTGAAGAATTTTTGTTGTGGTGGTTTGCAATTTCTTCTAAAAAAAGATTTATTTATTTTTATTGCAAAGTCAGATATACACAGAGGAGAAGAGACAGAGAGGAAGATCTATCTGCTGGTTCACTCCCCAAGTGGCTACAACTGCCAAAGCTGAGCCAATCCAAATCCAGAAGCCCAGAGCCTCTTTGAGGTCTCCCAAACAGGTATAAGGTCCCAAGGCTTTGGACCATCCTCAACTGCTTTTCCGGGCCATGAGTTGGGAGCTGGATGGGAAGCAGGGTTGCTGGGATTAGACCTGGTGCCCATATGGGATCCTGGCATTTGCAAGGTGAGGATTTTAGCCACTAAGCTACTGCGCTGTGCTGTGGTTTGCAATTTCTATGCAGCCCTGCACTGTTACTCCTCTCCATTATGTGTCAATCCAGTACACCCATTTTCCAATGATGCCCCTGTGTCTCATCCACAACCAGGAAGGAGGAGATGCACTTATGGCCATGTGGCAGTTAGGCTCCATGTGCAGATGACATGAAATTCCAGAAACCTTTATGCTTAAACTCCATCCTATCTGTAGGTACCACCCCATGATCTTAGAAAAGAAACGTACCGGGCCCGGCATGGTGGCGCAGTGGTTAAGGTCCTCGCCTTGCACGCCAGGGATCCCATATGGGCACCTGGTTCTAATCCAGGTGGCCCCTCTTCCCATCCAGCTCCCTGCTTGTGGCCCGGGAAAGCAGTGGAGGACAGCCCAAAGCTTTGGGACCCTGCACCCGCATGGGAGACCCAGAAGAGGCTCCTGGCTTCAGATCGGCATAGCATCGACCGTTGCGCTCACTTGGGGAGTGAATCATCCGACAGAAGATTGTCCTCTCTGTCTCTCCTCTCTGTATATCCGCCTTTCCAATAAAAATAAAATAAATCTTTAAAAAAAAAAGAAAAAAAGAAAAGAAACGTATCCATGTGGGAATGGCTGTTTTCTCCTTCTGGGCTCTGCATCTTGCTTCTGCATCCTTCTCTGGCCTTTTCCCATGCTTTCTCCTCTCAGGTAACTCTGGCCCATTCATGACCATCATCTCCTAGGAAGGGGTGGCCCAAACACACCCTCTCGCACTTTTAAATACATTCTGCACTCACTTGTGTGCTGTATTCATGCTTCTGTATTGAATTCATATCTCTCTGGGTACACAAACATGGCATAAAAATGGAAGTAACTATGCCTGTAACATTACTAACCTTCTGCTGGTTGCAGGCAATGGGGAGGGCTTGTCAGGTAGAAAACTCAGCTCTCCCAGGGACTGACTGCATAAGGCTGAGTCCACACTCTCATTTTGAAAGTCAGTTTCCTCTCAGTCAAAAGATCCTTTGGTACAAAGCATGGGATGATTGATTACATCTGGCATGAACACTGTACCATTCAAGTTGACAGGTGATCAGATCAACTTTTTATTTTGTTTTTCTATAATCTTCAAAATTAGTACCCAGATATGTGCAGATGCACTTTGTTTTAAAATAATGTAACATCAAGCTGTAAAAGCCGTATCTGAGTGCCAGCAGGCTGTAAGTCTGAGCTGGGTTTCCTTAACAGGCATGTGATGGTCATCACAACCTTGTAGGAAGGTCCTCAGGGATGGACAGAACCAGAATACTCAGCACACAACTGCCCTTTTACAGGACATTGAAAAGTCTCCAGAGTCCTTCTGTTTCATGGAATTGTCCTCATTGAATATGCAGCCATATTTCCTGGAAGTACTTATATATAGTGGCTATCTCTTGCAACAACTCTTTCTTAACTACTAAGAACCAGACATCAGATTAGACAGAAGTCAAACAATATCCTGACTGGAAAAAGCAATCAGTGTCTAAAAAAAAAAAAAATCAATGATGAGGGGCTAAGATGGTGGCATAGCAAGCTAAATATCTGCCTGTGGTGCTGGCTCATGTCCCAGCTGCTCTACTTCCCGATCCAGCTCCTGCTTACGTCCTGGGAACACAGTGCAGGATGGCCCAAGTCCCTAGGACCCTGCACCTATGTGGGAGATCCAGAAGATACTCTGCCTCCTGGCTTAAGACAGGCTCAGTTGCAGTTACAATTATTTGGGGAGTGGACCAGTAGATGAAAGATGCTCTCTCTGTGTGTCTCTCCTTCTCTATATAAGTCTGCCTTTCAGATAAAATAAATAAATAGTTTTAAAAATCAATGATGAAACTACACGTTGCAAAGCATTCATCCATGGAAACAGAGGAAAAAGCAATAGCCATCACAGCTACTCTACAGTGGCCCAAGAGAAAGTGTCATTTACTAATAACCCCTAAAAGGAAGCCATGTCCAGCTGTGTGTCCTGATGAAGGCAGATTCTGTACAGCTGTGATTCCCTGACTGGGATTAGAAAGAGCGAAACAGGAAAGCACAGCCAGGATAAGAACAGTGATCTGGGACTGCAATGAAAACAAGCACCTGGCACCTCAAGACCCGGACAAGCAACCAATGCAATGACCAGGAGAAAACTCACAACCTGGAAGGTCCAGATTAAAACAAGGAAAGCGATGTGAATTCAGTAAACTTAGACCTAAAAACACTGAAGAAAGAGCCAGCTACACTTAAACCAAAAAGAGAAACAGTGGAAATAAATAAAACCAGAGGGGGGAAAAAACAGTTTTTAAGTTAAAAATAGTTAGTTCTCCAAAAATGTAAATGACGTTAGCATATCTTCAGTCAGACTCTGCTCTCACACACAGAAGGTTCAGAGGTGGGACTGGCATTGTGGCACAGGCAAGTAAACAAAAACAAGACCTCACAAGAAAACTACATAACTGCAAACTCGTGTAGATGCCATGACTTTAACCAGCAAAACGGTGAGCTGAATTAATACGCCCTACCCTCGCTTTCTCTCAATTCAGCCAGATTTAGGCGCTCCATTGTACTAAAATGCTGAGTAATACATTGTCTCAGCCTAGACTCACCTGTGCATCTGCAAATGAAGTTGTGTCTAATACTGGGCTCAGGAGACACATTACCCTATGACCAACTGGTTGCTCATTTCAACCTGTCATTTGCTCCATATCTATAAAGCACTCAAGAGAATCATTAGATCCTAGGCAAGACACAGACACACTAGGGTGGAAGGTAAGGACAAGGTGATCCTTAAGCAGGATGAGGGAAGGTGGGAGGGGATGACAGCAAAGAGAAGCAACAAAAGACTCTTATGGCGAGTGCGGAAGCCTGCACTGGCACAGCAGTTGTCTCTGTAGGACTCTTGAGTATTTCACATGCTGCTTATGTGCTTCTCACCATAAAAATCTCTGATCCTTAAAGATCTGAAGGAAAAATACATTGGCACTCTGTGGTCCTGTGAAGGAGTTAACTCAGATCCTACTAGAGTCTGCTACCTTCAAAATCTGACACACATAGGGGCACTTGACCACGGCAGAACTTACCCCCTAAAGGAAACAGTTCAGACTAGGTTTACAGGACAAGACTTGGGGCAAGGGGTTCATTCTGGGATTCCCACCAGCCTTCCCTGCTTGATACCTGGCTTTTCAGAGTCAGTCCCCTCCACTGGCTCTCACCCCCACCCGAGCCTGGTCAGCACCCAGTGAAGCCATGCCAGGAATCTGCCCCCTGCCAGGTTCAGTTCTTTAAGGTGCTTCTTCAGGGACACAGTGTCTCTCTCTGTTTGGGCTTCTGAATTACAAGCCTGATGTTCATGTCCCTCTCAGAGGGGGAGCCTTGGACCCAGGACCAGTTTGCAAAAGGGTCAGGTGTGGGTTTCCACTCTGCACATTGTAGAGGGAACCCCCTGTGCACCCACGGGTCCTTTTCCAGCGAAATGGAGGTGCACTGGCTGTCATGTAGCCTGCAACCCTCTGTGGCACACGCCCTGCCTCTCAGAGCTGTTGACCATTTTATCAGCGTGTGAGCTTACCCCGTTCCAGTGGCCCCAGGGGAGTGTGAGGACAAGCGGTCATTCCCCAGGAGGTGATCCCATGTACTCGTGTATACAGTCACCCCTGCCGGCTCCCGAGGCCGCACGCAGCAGGCAGTCCTCGCGGGAGACAGGGCCAAGTCCCAAGTGGAGGAGCGAGGTTGGCCTGTCCCCTCTCTCGGGCTTCAGTTGGTTACCTGCCCACTCAAGTCACCTCTGTATAAAATGGGCTTTTGTTTTGTCTTTGTGTTTCTTTCTCAAATGCCAGGAAAGGTCAGGTCTAGCCCCCGCCCCAGGCCTTGACCAGGACAGGATGATGACCCCAAGTCTACCGCTTCATGTCCGCTTCATGATGCCATGGGAGGGTAGGGAGTCTGCCACCCACTGTGCCTGGGCCGTGGGGTTCTTGCTCCCTTGCTTCCTGATTTGATAAATTTGTTGTATTCAAAAACTTGAAATGTAGGACGCCATTAAGTGTCTGTTTATATTTTTGAAAGATTTGTATTACTTACAAAGAATTAATAAAAGCAGGTTTTTAAAACCTAAAAAAAAAAAAACAACCTAACACACAAAT